CTAAGTCGCTTTGGATAAAAGCGTCTGCTAAATGTCTAAATGTAAGCGTAAGATTATTTCAAGAAATGTAAATTTTTATGTTTCTTACCATAGAGAGGGTCTATGGGTGATGGACAGCAAGGAGATACCAGCATCCTTTGCAGCCTGAAATATTTTACCCTCTACATCAATGCTGACCGCACTGGTGCACTCATCCAGCAAAGCATACTTAGGCCTGAAAAAATGCATCAATTATTATTATTATTTAAAATAAATTAAAACACATTAAAATAATATGTGCAACGACATCTTACTTGTGGTAAAACATGCGTGCCATGCCCATACGCTGTTTCTCGCCTCCAGAAAGAACATCTTTCCAGTCCAGCTCAGCATCCCACCCTGTAAACAGACACAATCGTGAATGACCTCAAAAATGCAGTTTTATTTTTCTTCCTCAAAATAAATGACGAAATGGCATTTTTAACTGGTGGAAAGCTGGCTCAAAAAACTGGGATCCTATTACACAGTACACAATAATTCTTTCAAGGATCACAAAGAGATTGAAATGGTGAAACACTTTAGTAATGCTAAATGGGAATTACATGCACAAACCTCCTTCCCGGGTAACAATGTGGTTTAGATTGACAATGTCCAGAATAACTTCCAGGTCCTTGTCTCTGTAACCCTTGTCATGCATGTCGTCTAGAGAGTCGGGGTAGATGACCTGGTCCCGTAACGTTCCGATGGACATGTATGGTCTGGAGAGAGGATAAAACATTTTTACTGTTATTTACTGATATTATGTCGGGCGAAGTGAAGACAGACAGACAGTAGATAGATAGATAGATAGATAGATAGATAGATACTGTAGATAGATAGACAGATAGATAGTCACATAAGCACAACAGCCTGTGTATAAAATATTAATGGGCTTCTGGCTGCGCTTGCACCTGCAGGAATCTGTAAATATTTCACTACTGAGGACTCTGGTTTCTATCGCTCAGCATTTCACAGAGCTTTAGTTACACTGTCTCTGACTCTGGATACAGCAGTCAAATCCTGGCGGTGCAACGTCTGCAATATGGAACAGAGATGGAGGACAGTAGCTGTTCTGAAACCTAGTGGGCCGTCTACCTAAGTGCATTTTAATGCCTCGTAGGTCCACTCTTGACACAAAGTCTGCTACAAAGAAAGCAAAAATTACATACATAATAAAGTAACTGGGTCTGGTGAAAATCAAAAGCAAAATCACACATACAGCATCCTTCACAGAGAACGCCAACCTAATGCTTTGTGACACAATGAAAAAAATCAAGATTAATGTTAATATGTGAAATTACTAATAAATGTTTTTCATTCAGTGCATATATAAAAATTATTTTTTAGATACATTTTATACTTAGTAGAGTATTTCATTGTTACCTTAGTAACATGCTAACATCAAAACCTATTGGAATCAATTGTGAGTTGAGTCTCCGGTGCAATTTATGTAAGGATTGTTGCTTTTCTCATTCAGCGTTAATTTTGACAGCGTTTTAAATTTTGATTTAGTTTTAGTCATAGTCTTTTGACTAAAATGCCATTTAGTTTTAATCATATTCTAGTCATCTGAATTGTTTTTAGTTTTAGTCTAATTTTAGTCGATTGAATATCATACGATTTTAGTCGACTAAATCTACAGTAAATTTACATCAATGACTCGGACAATAGCAACTAAATTAGGCTGCTATCCCTTTAAAACCGAATGCACAGCTGCAGTGGATGCAATGTACTGATACACATTCTCCCTACTGTTTACGTTCACTTAAGACGTAATCAACTGTGTTTACGTGAATACTCGTCAAAACGTAATTCTCCATTCATGCGACGTGAAAGAGTACTTGCGCGCTGTGAGACACGCTTTCTGTGTGTGTATGCTTCAGTGTCTGTGCTCAGAATGCGTCGCCAGATTTATCTATATGTCTGCTCTTCTCTTACTCCCACATATTGACTTTTTTTTACATTTTATGAGACGTGCAGCAAGTGTATTTTAGCTTATGTCCCGCCGGTTCATATGTACGCATCTGACCTCCTAACTATGCAATTCGTTCTGAATGAATCTCTTCCCAAATCGTCCCTCCCTAACATTTTCTTCTCGTTTTTATTCGTTGACGAAAATGTCAATACATTTCCATCATAGTTTTTGTCATTCAAAAAGAGTTTTAGTTCGTTATCGTCTCGTTGTCGTCGTGAAAAAAATGTCGTTGACGAAAATTATGACGAAAACTATTCGTCAATGAAATTAACACTGTTCTCATTTTACTGTATGCACACAGTAAATGTGATCCAATGTGCTTCTTGTACGTATAGAAATAGTTACATGATTTTTTGGTTGTCAATATGGTAGAGTTGCAGAGCATTTTGTTACTTGGTATGACTAGCAATAGATTTGTAAATGTGACACTACTTTAATGATTTGTATTACATTTCTTCATTTAATTATTTACTGTATAAATAATACTGTATAAATAAACCAAAAAAATGTTTAATGGTTATGAAAGGAGTCCATGGTTACAAAAAGAATCCGTAGCAGCAGGCGGCGAGGAAATTCTCTGCATGTATAACAGTCTAGGGTTTTTCACACTATGCTTAACCCCAGGTAAAGATTTGTTTTACAGTTGTACTTTGGAAGCAGGGTTAGCACCACTTTTTTACCCAGGTTATGAAACCCTGCTCTAGTGTTGTCTGTACCTCTGTGGGATGTAAAACATGTGCTCAGGTGATGGTTTGTACAGAAGTCCGCCGTACACGGGCCACAGGCCACTGAGGATCCGGAACAGAGAACTTTTCCCACATCCATTTGGCCCTGTGATCAGCAAATGCATCCCTTCCTCTACCTGCAAACAATATCCAGTTACAGGAAACTGAGTGTAGTTCACATGGTTACGTAAAAGGTACAGTATATAACGACATACTTTTAATTTGATCTCAAGCCCTACAATTTAAAAAGTGTGGTGGTACTTTACAATAACTGGGTTATTTGTCTGTTAATGTGGAACTTGATGGATGCAAACCAAAATATATGATTAATATAGACAAATTCTATATTAATGCAAGAATTTGTCATGTAGCTTGGCAACCATAAACAACTAAACTCTGCTTTGCACAATGCCAAACAACATTCCCTTCATAACCTTGTCTTGACTTGTTTAGCACACTTCATGTTTGAGTCGCATGTGTAAATATAAAACTATGATCTTGACTTATAGATAACACGAGAAATATATCTACAGTATCATTGTACGTGAATAGCAAATAGCACATTTGTGACCAAATATGTACAGTAGTACTAAAAGTTAAATGTTTATTCTTGTTTAACTCACCTTGAAGTTTAAGGAGGACACAACCACATCTCCATTAGGAGTGATTATAGGCACATTTTCACAGACTATACCTTTATCCACATCAATCACTTTGCCTGTAGAAAGAGTGGAAAAATGCATACAATCGGACAGAGATTTAGAATACAAACTGAGGAATAAATATCTCTCATTAGAAAGCTATGGCACATTCCATACATACAGTACACATTGGTATCCTATTTTATTCAATTGTGTGAGATCTAATTGGGATGTTTGACATATATAGTAACTATTATCTAATCATAAAATTAGCCTTCTACAGCACTGTGGGAAAACAAGCAATGCCTCTATTTCCTCGTGTTTTTAAAGGAAATTGCAGTGTTGACATTATTCATCACATTTAACCATTCAACCACTGTTATTTAAGTTACTGTATAAAAAAAGATCAAAAGAAATTATTTGTCACATGTGGTTGCCGCAAGCCCGCCGGCCGCTCCGTCGAATCCGCCTGCCGCCGCTCACTCTAACCCGCCGGCCGCCGCTCACTCAAGCCCGCCGTGTGTGACACTGCGTGTTTCGTTGTGAAAGCGAAACTGCTTTATTTGGCCTTCCAAAAAAGGACACGACTAGAAATCAGTGGTTAAGTTGTATTTACAACACTGTTCCAGAACAGTTCA